CAATTTGCATTCCTAAGAAAAGGGACACGTGCAAACAGTGAAAGTAGATATTCCAGACTCAATCAATAACTCTCAATCAAAATATGGAATTGGGACAATATGATGTTTTTATTACAATTTTCTTATTTTGCAATTACTTTTGCATTACATGCAATCCGGGTCATTAACTGATCTAACGTTTATTTTCTCTCCCAAGAAGGTTACATAATACATATCATGCATCGCACTACACACATGGCGGTCTAAAAGCGGTGCTCAAATCCAAGGAATGCCGTTAAAATGCAACTGTAATGATCCATTACTCCCCACCTGTGCCACTTTGCTTATCTTTAAAATCAATACACTCGATATAATTGATAGATCCTTGGGCATGTTTCACTGCCAGTATCGCGCCGCCATGCTGTTGCTGCCCAGCAGGTAAACACAATGTTCTATAGACCCGGTCCGTGATACATGCTTGGGTTGCATTAAAGGAAGACTGCCGCCTTCAAAAAGTTTTCTCAGATTGGCCCATGATTTTTTCCCTGGATAAAACGAAATTTTAGAATTCACCTGGCAAGCTATCATCACGTGAATCGCGTAAAAAAATTATCGATTATCATAAATTATCAATCGGCTAATGTCTAGCGACAATGTTGACACATCACTAGACTTCAAGGTCATAAGATATGGAAGCGGGTTTTGTCGCCATAAACGGCGCGCATGTTACAATTGAAATATACAATGATCCTTGCTTTGGTTATGTATGTCCTGTTTACGCTTTTTGAATTGCCTGTTTTAATGAGTTATGTTATCTATATCTTAAAATATTCCAATTCTGATTCATGTGATAGGTATATATGCATGTATTTTGGCATGTGATATTAAAAGCTAGACTATTTCCAGGTTTATATGAATAGTGATAGACTAAGTTGAGACAAAGGCTATTTGAATAACAAATACCTGTGGTATTGGAAAATTGTCATGAATCTGATAGTGTTTCCATTCCAGCACCAATTTCCCAGTCTTCAAAGTGTGGCAGGGAGCTCAATCCGTGACAAGATGTTTGGGACAGGCAAAACATTGCCCAAAGCGGAATGCCGAGACCTGGGCAAACCAATTCCTTTCATAAGGGCCCCTCATGAATATGATGAAAATGATATAATGATGAAGTGCATCATTTAATAAGTATGAGAAGCGAAACGAATCAATGCTGTGACAAGCTTTCAACTTCTGCCCCAGATTTCCTTGCTTCTGCCCCAAAATTCCTCAAACCTGCCACAACCTGTGGTGTGTGCCCCGACAACATATTGTCAAGACCTGCCACGTTTTGCAGACTGGCCCATTTCTGTATGCCTACCTTCCAGGTGAAGATGCCTGGTGAGCGAGGGAGAGGACGAGGACGGGTGAGGAGAGGAGGTGGTCGAGGGGCAAGAAGAATTCTCAATTTTTCACCCACCGCCCAGCCCGAGCCCCAAAGGTAAATAACTGAATGTTTCTTACGATGTGATGTGAAAGCATGAAACAATTGTTAATATTTATTTAATTGCCATGTGTGGCCTAGCCTTTATCTAGGTTGCTAGCCAATATATACTTTAAAGTGATTATTGCAATTAAAATTATCATGTACCTACCTTGAAAAGTCAGGTACACTACAAGCAGAAATAATACAGGGTGTTTCTGAAAATGCTGACACATTTATTTCTCCCATATCTCTCATGTTTATTGACGCACACCCATCGTCATAGGCTACAACTAATCAGTCATCATTAAAAATTCACATCCATCGCCAATGATCACTATTTGATCCCCTTCTCGGAACCTAGAGCAGGTGCTCGAAGCGACCACCACTTCAAGCCAAACAGAGTTCGACCCGACGGTGCACTGCTTCCAGAACTCGGCGGCGCTCCTGGGGCGTCACCGCCCTCACGCACGCGCGGACCGCAGCCTTCAGCTCGGGAATGTCTCGGGGTTCACTCTTGTAGGCTCTTTCCTTGACATGACCCCAGAGGTAGAAGTCTCCCGGCGTGAGGTCCGGAGACCTCGGTGGCCACCTGGTGGGGGTGCCTCGGGAAATGAGCCCCCCCTCCCCCAAAGCGCTCCTGCAGCCACTGTAGGGTCACAGTGGCTGCATGAGCGGGGGCACGATCCTGCTGCAACCACTGATCATACCACTGGACTTCCTCTGGAGCGCAGTCCAGAACTTCTCGAGGACCTGCAGATAGCGCTCCGCCGTCACCGTGAGGACGTCGCCCGCGACATCTTCGATCCAGATTGGGCTGATAATGCCCGTGCTGCTCACAGCGCACCATGCAGTGCATCGGGGCGGGTGCGGCTGATCTTCTGCGACCTCGTCCTGGGCCTTCTCGCTCCAGATCCGGTTGTCCAAATTAGATCAAGATGCAGATCCAGATCAGCGCCATTGTGTCAAAACAACAGAATTGGTTTCGAAGTAGAAATGCACTATCTTAGCATTTTCCTTCGTGTCAGTAATACGGCGTATTGAATGAAAGCACCGATGCTGTCAAACAAATTTTCAAAAACTATTCTTTCGTCTCGTGCATTGAACACGTGCATTTAATTGCAGTAAATTCCTCCAAATACCAAAACAAATGTGTCAGCATTTTCAGAAACACCCTGTACAACCTAATCTAACCTTACCTAACCTTACCTAATGTAAGATAATCTCACCTGACTCATTGTGTGGTTTGGTGGAAGTTATAAATGTTTTGTGAAAAAAATATGGTTAGTACACAAAACATTTCTAAGGATGTGTTCTTTCTAATCATGTTTTAGTTTTGTGAGTCTCTTCATTTTCTAAAGAGTGCAAAAGGAGGTATTCAACTCTGCTCATGATAATTCAAAAGGAATTCTTAAATACAATGCACCAATAAATCACTGATTTTCACTTTGTGGTTCATCAGAAAACACATTCAACATCATTGTCTTTCTATAATGAAAGATGGCACTAAAACATGAACCACTTTTCCTCCAGAAAAGTGGTGCTAGGTGAACTTGATACAGGTGAACTTATTACTTAGGACACATGGTACAAGTCTTGATCTTATAGGGGGAGGCGGCTCGGGTTGGAGATACACGTACACTGGTTATTAGGGAGACCATTAGGTACCGTTAATGATTTTACATTGCTGTGCGATACGAGGTTGTAGTGAATAGTGATGTTGCGTCATTTGTGGACTTCCCTCCTGCGAGTTGTCTGGTCCTAGGATTTCATGCACATCTTCCTTCACTTCAAACTGGGATTTACCGGTGACGTGTTTTCTCTGTGTGCGTCAGGTGTACCAGTGGAAGCTCCTGCACCACGTCTTTAAGGACCACCTTGTGATGCTGAACCCGGTGCACCTTTCCCTACAAGTGCACCGTCTGTACGGCCACATTCGCATATGTATACAAACAGTTCGAGAATGACGTCTACAGCTCTCACTCTGTCGTCGCCAAGAAGATTATGGAGTCGTTTGGCCGTAGGAAGGCAGCTGCGGCGGCGGCCGCCACCGGACAGCCCATCAAAATCAACAACGAGATCACAATTCACAATCATCCCTCACACGGGCTCGGGCAGTGCGGCAAAGGGCTCGTCTCAGGCCAGCTCGACGCCTGTGAAGCGGCGGCGACCGGAGTCGGCGCCGGCTCCCGTGGAGCGTGAGTGCGAGCTGTGCGAGCATCGCGCGCTGCCGTGGTGCAGCCGCGGCCGCTGACGGAGCACTACCTAGTACCTGCGCCAGGCGCCTGCACCAGGGCCGGCCAGAGCTCGAGTTCACGCCGCTGATGCGCGACCCCAAGTGCGCAACCTTCGTCACAGAGGAGATCTGCGAGCAGCTGCGCCGGCGCGCCGCCGCCGAGGACTCCGACAGTGGGGTCGAGGTGGAGGTGAGCGACGCGAAGGACGGCGCGGCCGGCGGCGCCCCGTCCGCCTCCGGTGGCAGCGCGCTCAGCAAGCTCAACGAGGAGACTCACGCCTATTGCCGCGGCGCGGCCCCGCCGGCTGGTGACCGTCCGGAAACCCAAGCCGTTCATGGGTGACTGAGTGAAACGAATGGACGTGCGTGTGCGTTTTTGTTCTGTGTATGCGTGCGTTTGGAAATGGCGTCTCTGTGTGCGTGCTTGTTTTGTAGAAGCGCTAGCGGTGCCGACGGACCCAGCGATGGCGCGGAGGGCTTTGATGTACCGTGTGTCTTTGATGTTGATGCATTCCCGTGTTTTGTTGGTCGCGCGCCCAGCAGCACCGTGTACATAGCCGGGGGCGTTCCTGCTCGACGCCACGTTCTGTTCGTTGTATCTCAGTGCCAGCTTTTTGCTCCAAGTCCCGCTCGTGGAACACGCGACTCGCTCGATTCAAATAATAAATATACACTGTATTCTCTAACAACCTGATATTCTCTGAACAACTCTCTCCTCTCTCTCCTCTCTCCATATAAAAAATACGGCCACGGTGAGTAGGTGCCGGCCGGCGGTAACTGCCTCCGGACGGTTCTCAGTTGATATGTGACAACAGTTAGGAATGTAACACCGCCATAGTACCCTCCATCACTGCCGGGCGCGGCGGTCCCCGCACACAGGACCGGCGGGGGGGGGGGGGTAGCGACCGCCGCCGGCTGCTGGCCGCCCATCAGCTGCAACACCAGCTGCTGCAGATGGACAAGCTGCTGGCGGTCCTCGTTTAGCGCGATCAGCTCCTGTTCGCGCGCCGCCGACACAGCGTTCACAGCGCCGCCGCCGATGAATTGCTGCAGCCGCGCGCGCAGCTCCTTTCGCTCTCTGATGAGACTGAGACTGAGCCAGCCAGAGCCAGAGTCGAGACTGAGCCAGCTGAGTCTTGACAGACCGGACAACACACAAGGCGCCAAAAACGAAGCAACATGATTGGTCGACACATCGAACCGTCTGTCACAGCGACTGTGCTTGGACCACGGCCATCCCGCAATAGTGACAAGGCATTATCCTGAACACGCGCAGAATCACGCCCAAAGTCAATCGACACACCAAGAAACGTAAAAACATGCGACGGAACGAGAACTAATTTATTGAAATTAATACACAACCCAACACTAGTCAGAAACGCAGCGATACCATTCAGCGTCCTTGGACATAAAAAGAAAATCATCTAAATACGCCAAACACCTGACGTTAAATCTCGACTCTACAAGTTCACTGAAAGCATCTGTTAGGTACTGCATCTCCGAAGGAGATGCAGTACCTAACTGCATCTCCTTCAGTACCTAATAATGCAGTACCTAATAATGGTACTGCATCTCTACCTAATAATGCAGGAGATGCAGTACCTAATAGGGCCCATTGGTAACAGAGAAAAGGTATAAGCACGTTTTACCATCATACAAAACACCAAAAGGACGTGTGGAACGTGCGCGAGGAATGTGATGAAATCCATCTTTTAAATCAATCTTGATACCGGTATAAAACCCCAAAACGATAACTCTAACGCATCCTCAATAGACGGCAAAGAGCACGGCCGGCACGGCAAGAGGGGCGTAAGCACTGACAAATCGTATACCAGTCTGGCCACAGTCGCACTTTTTGGCACAGCAAAGTCTGTAGCAGGCCAACTAAACAGCGACTCGCTCGCGACCGGTGCCGACGGCGATGAAGATTCGTCGTCACCAGCGTCCTTCCGAGGCGCGCTGCCGACGGGGCACGCGCCACCGGCCCGCCAGCATCACCGTCGACCGATGCCGTCTTCAAAGAAGAGCCGCTCCCCTCAGTGGCGGCAGCAGAAGAGACCGCAGGCGGCGGGGACCCGGAGCAGGGCACAGAGACGGTGCCCCCCGCCGCGCCTCAAACGCCGAACTAAGCCGGACGTTCCGGCGAGCCGGGCCCGCGGCGCGCGGCGGAGCGCGCAAGCTGGACGGCCAGGCGGGGCGCGGGCGCCGCCGGGTGAGCTCCGGGAATGATGATGGAGAATGATGGAAGGATGATGTTATGGAGCCGCGGATGCTGCTCCATGGCAGAAATCATCTCTGCAGCTGCGCCGTGCGGATGTTGGTGGCGAACGCCCTCTGGGCTCTGCGTCAGCTGGCTGGTGGCTTGCGCGCTCTGTGGGAGAGCAGGACAAGGTGTAAAATGCTGCTACGGGACACGTAAGCAGATGTAATACCTCTGCTCGAGCTACCATACGCAGATAAGACTAAAGTCTGTTCCATTTCAAGCTTGCAGCCGAAGTACCATGCTGTAAACAACACATGCTTTATGTGTGCATAGCTCCTACATTAACCCTCGCCCTGGCAGGGCATTTTTCATAACACGGCCTGGCAGGGGGGGGGGATTGATGCGACCCCCCCTCGCGATTGGCCTTGGGGGGTGCATCAACCCCCCCCCCTGCCAGGGCGAGGGTTAAGAGACACATTATTGAACCAAGAAGCAACTTGGCAAAGCAACTTAGACCATAAGCTTGGTATGGAGCAGACTATATTTTTCTTTAGTCTGTTATATAATCAACACTTTGTTTTCTTTAGAAGGAAAATTACTCCTGGCTGGAACCAATCAGTTTCGTTACCCGCCTATCAGTACCTAGTCGTAAAGCAGACGCTGCTCTTCCCTGAACAGCTGAAGGCATTGTGACTGGTGGTAAGCTGGTAGCTTGTAGGTATTTAGGCTGTAGGCTGGTAGGTTGTCGGTAAGTAGGTAAGGTCAGGCCTGGTTAGATTATGTTCGTTATTTTCATCTGTCTTCATACAATGCCCGCCTTCAGCTCATTCAGGTGTTTGCAGGGAAGTGCAATGCCTGCTTTATGATTACTCTTTCTAGTATCTATAATTATCAGCATTCAAATATCATTTAATTTTCATGCAATAATCTTGCTGAGACATGTTTAAACTCTAACCCCCTCCCTGTATAAAAAAACAGCAGTATGCACAGGTAACTTACTGATCACTTTCTGCGAACAGCCTGATCCCAGCATTGCTGTTCCTTCCACGGATGCCTTCGTTTTGTGCTCCCAGCATACTGCATTGTGTTGACTGTGGAGAAATTTCAACAGCTTAGAAGGACCAACAAACATTTCTTTAGATATCTGCATGTTTGCTATGATGACAAGCTAGGATGCAATGTAGGTACCTACCAAATGATAACAATAGGTACCCATTAGTGATAAATTGTAACTAAAATTGACAAATATGTTGAAGGTTATGTTGACAACATCCTAATTTCTCAGTGCTGACATTACTATTTGGCTCCAGACTGGAAAAATTCACGTTATGCTGAATATGTCCTGCATAGTGGCATGATTGCGCCAAAACTTTCAGTGCATGTCAGGCGTAACTTCACATGCGCCGAATTCAGCGCATGTTGGCACCTGAAATTTACGGCGCAGGGCGGCTACAGATTTTTTATTTTAGCGAAAGCCCTGTTGCCAAATTTAGTCGGTAGTCTGGTCAATTTAGCAGCAGATTTCCCCTGCGGACGGCTCTAGAGAGGATGTTATGCCAGATCGCCAGATGTGCAATGAATTTTCAGGTGCAATCCCACTACTACGCTGGTCATATTCAGCAGAGCATTTATTTTATCTAGTCCGGGCTTTCCAATGTAAGAATCATGTTGACCCAGCAAAGTTATGGCTGACTATTTGACAATGACAATAACATGACCCCATCCTCCACCCATATTTTGTCTGCTCCTACACCCATGTCAAAGAGCTAGCTAAGAAAAAATGATCATTTACAATGCCCATAGCAAACCATCCGAATGGGACATTTCAATTTGCTGAAAAACAAGACCAATACCACCCTGACCCGACATCCATATCAATATCTAATTCATAAGCAGTACCTATTTCTGCAAGACTTTCTGAAAGGAAAAATACATATTCCCATATTTTTCTTACCTATGCCTTCGTACGGAAAAACAGAACTCATATTTCGCCTCACTTCAAATTCTTGCCGGCCAAAACAAGATACCTATAAGAAAGGGCCAAAATGTGTTTCAGTTTCTTCCGATCGAGGTCAAGTTCAAAAGCCACCATATGAAAGAAAAACTTCAAACGTCTCACAATGCTGAAGCCCATTTCCCACACTTTTTTTAAAAACCGACATACGGGATATAGGGCTTCATAGTTTGTTTTTACCCTCTGAAATAATCTTCTGATACCATTTTGGACAATATCATTACACAAGAACATGAGAAAAAATAGCTAATCCATCGTATACCATTCCCGACCATGAATGCATGAAGGTTTTTTTGAACATGGTAAAAAAATCCAGTCGCCTTAGACATGATTCCTTTGTCATATTATTGCATTTTATTTAAAAAAGTAAGGTTGTATGTTGATAATTAATATATAATTTTCAAAGAAACTGGCCAGGTTTAATTTATTTTGCATTTAACTTCGTAAAACATTTAAAAATCATGGCTCATTTGGAATGGGTCCGGCCCATGTTAAACCCCATTTCCCACACTTTTTTGGAAAAAATGAACTACTGAATATATTAGTCTAAATTTTATTTTGACACTCCAAAATTCTTCTCTGATCTCGAAACAATCAAAGTTTCGACATATTTTTGCCAAAAGATAAGAAAACTAATGTTTCAAAGTTATCGATAAACGTAGAGATGCCGGTTTTCTTGAACTAAAAAAATGGCATCAAACTGAACTTTGGTCTCCGATTTCTCGCAAACGGGTTCGAATTTCGGAAAACCAACTTCAGTCTGGGACATAGGTGGCTCAGCTCTAGTGAAAACCGTTTTGTGAAAAAAAAGGTGGCAGTCTACCTTTAAAAGGTGCTACTAACCTTTTCAGTTGAGCGCAAATCAATAAAGGTTAGTTGCCACGCCAGAAATGTTAGGCAATTTGCCCAAAGGAATGGCGAGGGAAACACCCATACAGGCAGTGCGTTTGAAGTTTTGAACCATAGCCCGCGCCCCGCTGGGGGGGGGGGGGGGCAGAATCTGCCTCCCGTCCGTTTTTCGCCAATAACTTCTAAACGCGTTACGCCAGCAACGTCAAACTTTAAGTACCTTATCATACATCAATTTGACACGTTCCCTGAAAATTTGAGCGAAATCCGTCGAAATTTTTTTTTTGAGGTATTGACGTTTTAGTGACGTCATGTTCGCCATTTTCGCCTCAAAAACGGCAAAATTTCAAACGCCGCTAACATCTTCATTTTTTAAAGAATCAAGACGTAACAAAAAAGGTTATACGTGATTCTACTTTGTCTATCAAATGGCTATCTCGTTTTTTTTTGAAAATTTGGGATTTTGGCCCAAATTTTTTTTCTTCAAAAAACTGACTTTTTTGGAAAATAATTATAAAATCCAAAATTTTAAGTGTGTCGAAAAAAAAACGGAATATATGTCAAAGAAGTAGTCTATGTGCACCTATATACCAATTTTTAAAAGAATCGGTTCAAAAATGTAGGAGTTATTCAAACTTTTATGACGTCACGACACACAAAATTTTTGAAAAAAATGACTTTTTGGAAGTTCTAGACCTCGTACGGAAACAAAAATAGCACCATTCGATTCGCCGTGAAAAACTGCATCGGATAGACACCTTTTGAGGCCGTAACAACCAACTTCAAAATTTGACCTCACTTGACCTGACTTTGACCTGACCTCGACCTGAAATTCATCCAGAGGTGGTCCACATCACTTATTGAGTGTGCCTATTGAATTCCATGAGTAAAATGACTCATAAAACATGTGTCGCACATGCCCTTTTCTATATTTTGTTTTTGGTGACCTGACCTGACCTGACCTGACCTTGACCTTGACCTTTGAATGACATTGTGTGCAACGAATATTGTCTTGGTAGTCTAAGAACACGTTTTGGGCAATCAGTCTCAGTCCATTCTTCGGCAACTACGGTGCAAGGCCGATACTGTAGAAACTTGCATTTTGTACCCTTGACCTGACCTTGACGTGACCTCTGACCTACTTAAGCAAAGAAAATGGGCTCTTAAGATCCGCCTTGTTGAGAGCTTTCGATTGCCGTTTTCCCCGTCTTTCTACGACCATCGGTTCGGAAGTTAGACAGGGGGGGGGGCAGAATCTGCCCCCCCCCCCCCCAGCAGGGCGCGTATGGCTGAATAGCCCAGCGGGGCGCGGGATAGCGGAGAAGCTGCTAGTCCTTCTGAGGAAATGACACAACAATATGTGACATTCCAGGGATTGCTGAGATTCTGGTTCATTGTAACATTTCCCAGCTGTGAGGAGAAGCCGTTGTGAAAAGAAAATGAAGTGTTAATCAGGTGTGCACGTTCGTTAAAACGTACACAATACCGCACTTACCGCAGTTCGTGTCGTGGCGGACAGGCCGGACCACTAGGTGCGGAAAATCAGGGAGGTGGCGTTCAGACTTCTGAAAGTCTACGGGCCTGGGGTTTCATTACCATGAACTTGGAGCAGGTGTGCCTCAGCTCAGCACTTCTTCGAGTTCGCCACGTCACGGCTGAAAAAAGTTGAGCTGCAAGTCCGGTGGGTGCGATATGCAACAAAACATCGATAAACTCAGTGTCGAGCGGTTTTTGCAATTAGCGTCATAAAAAATAGTGTTGATGCTGTGATTTATCCGATGTCACTCGTCCTTCATCTAACTATATGCTAAAATATTGGCTTTGTTAACTAACATTCTCTAGGACTAGGAAGAGCATGCTTATAAAGACAACAAATACGCTCTGAAAGGAGAGCAATTGATACAGAACCATCATTAACCATGATGTAGAACCATCATTTGAAAATAAAATAGATATGATCGACATGAGTAAAAGAATATTCCGTAGAGGAAGAGATCTTTTTGAAAAAAAAATCCACTCACTTCGTCTGCCTGAACAGGTCAATTAAACCACGGTCAAACGCATGCTTGCATGGTTCTATCTATATCCGCAAAAATTAGACATCTTCCCGAACTGTTCAGATCGGCGTGAGATTGTTCTCCGAAGTTTTCAACGGTCGGTGGTCGGCGCTCCCACTTCCCACAGCCACCGACAACTGGTGTTGGATATCGCGGCTTTGTTTTACGTGCTACGCCTTCGAACGCAGTCATGGGGACAAACGATGCGCAGTTGAGACGAGCAATCGATGCCGGCACCCGATCGGATAACTTGCGGCCGTGTGTCGGCCGTGACGCACCGGGACGTGCATTTCCTGGCGGCTGCAGTGAGCCACTCTGCGGCATAATGGTATTCATCGGTAGCCAACCGAACAGCGCTTCACGGCTCCTAGGCGGCGTTCATTGAGCTGCATGATCGCCAACTGGAGTTAGCTCAAACTTCAGTTTTTATCAAAGGCAAAGTAAAAGATGGTGACACCTAGCTTGTGCAGCTCTGTGATACCCGTGCCCAGTGCCGAGTGCAATGATGAGGTGCGCTTCATGGTGAAGTAAAGAAGACATATACAGGAATTTGCGAACGGTTATCCAAAATCACAACCGTTGGACCGGAAGCTGGAAATTCAGTGGGATTATTGGTAACGGTTGTCATTTTGTCCAAAGATTCGCTACAGGCTGATGTTATTTTTTTCCTGAATCCTACCTAAGGTACACACAGAAAAATATTGACACCGTTAGCGGTGTAATTGCACAGTACATATCTGAGCACTTGAGGAAAGTTAATTTAGTCCCTTCCCCGCTTAAATTACTCGCGCTTCCAAATGAACACCAGGAAGAAGGTAATAGAACACTGTTAGGAGGGTTGGGTGTTTTGCTACATGTTATCTACAAATTACTCGCGCTTCCAAATGAACACCAGGAAGAAGGTAATAGAACACTGTTAGGAGGGTTGGGTGTTTTGCTACATGTAGCAAAACACCCAACCCTCCTAACAGTGTTCTATTACCTTCTTCCTGGTGTTCATTTGGAAGCGCGAGTAATTTAAGCGGGGAAGGGACTAAATTAACTTTCCACAAGTGCTCAGATATGTACTGTGCAATTACACCGCTAACGGTGTTAATATTTTTCTGTGTGTAGTCAACTAGTTAACACGCGCAGTGGAAGGGTTGCGAGTACTACGCCCAGTGGAAGGGGGGGCGGATGTCGCCCCCCCCTAAGATCTCAGCTCCCACTGGAGCTAGAAAGACGAAATTTGGAGGGTAGGTGGGGGCCATGGGGAAATCTGTTGTGTGTGAATTTCATGACCCTAGGTCAATATCTTCAAGGTCAAATGAGGTCAATTGTGGTCAAATCTGCCATATTAGCGACTTTTTTGCGTTTACACGCCGATAACTCAAAAAGTTACCGGCCGATTTTTTAAAATCTTTCACTATACGAAAGAGCAAACATTGGTGAGTATGTATTTTGAGTTTCTAGATAATCCAACAATAAATATGGCAGTTAGAAGCATGCTAAGGGTAAGATGTCGCCGGCTGAAGAGGCATCGGCCGACGCGGGAAACGCGGCAATCACAATTTTGTGTTTACACACTCATAACTCAAGTTGTTACTGGCCGATTTTCAAAATTCTTTGACCATATGATTGCCTGTACATTTCTAAGTCTTCTCACCGAATTTGACGCGAATCTAATATAATCAGCGGGAAGGAGCGCGATGTAAAGACGGAACCGTCCCGCCCCGGCACAGTCTACAATTCAGGCGGCGCGTAACGGCTAGCGCCGGCCGCCGCGCCGCCGCGCCGCGGCGGCGGCAGGATGTTTGACTTTACACCGCTATTACTAGAAAAGTTGTGAACCGATTTTCTTACTTCTTGCACGAGAAGATCCGCAATTCAATTCTGGACAAGTAACCAAAATTTCACATTGATATTATGCTTGCGGCGCGAGTTATTGGCGAAAAACAGGAGGGGTGGGCGAAATCCGCCCCCCCCCCTTCCACTGCGCGTGTTAACACGCGCAGTGGAAGGGTTGCGAGTACTACGCCCAGTGGAAGGGGGGGGGGCGGATGTCGCCCCCCCCTAAGATCTCAGCTCCCACTGGAGCTAGAAAGACGAAATTTGGAGGGTAGGTGGGGGTCATTGGGAACTCTATTGTGTGTGAATTTCGTGACCCTAGGTCAATATCTTCAAGGTCAAATGAGGTCAAATGTGGTCAAATCTGCCATATTAGCGACTTTTTTTGCGTTTACACGCCGATAACTCAAAAAGTTACCGGTCGATTTTTTTAAAACTTTCACTATACGAAAGAGCAAACATTTGTGAGTATGTATGGTGAATTTCTAGACAATGCAACAATAAATATGGCAGTTAGAAGCCTGCTAAGGGTAAGATGTCGCCGGCTGAAGCGGCATCGGCCGACGCGGGAAACCCGGCAATCACAATTTTGTGTTTACACACTCATAACTCAAGTTGTTACCGGCCGATTTTCAAAATTCTTTGACCATATGATTGCCTGTACAATTCTCAGTCT